CTGATTCTCACCCCCCCCTTTGCTATCCCCCCCTTTCCCCCGACCCGACAAGCGACGAGGACGAGGATCACCGAGGGTCGGGAGGGGAAGAAAAAGCACAGGCACGAGTCGCCGTCGATCCCCCCAGGAAGCAAGATGGGAGGCCATGTGGGAAGTGGGCGGGGAGGCGGAGCTCCAGGAATCCTGGGATCAGTGTTTTTGATTTCTGTGTCCCTGGGCCCCTTTAGAGGGTTTGTGGCCCAACAGGGAGCTCCAACGAAGGCCCCAGCGGCAGGGTCCGCGTGCCGCCACCCATGTAGGCACACCCCTCGCGCGGTTCGTGGCCCCACGGGGAGCTCCACCGACGGCCCCAGTGGCACCGACGCCCACTTTGGCGCACCCCTCGCGCGGCTCGTGGCCCCATGGGGAGCTCCACCGAAAGCGGTACCCACAACGCGGTACAGTCGGGGCCCTGAAGAAGGAACCCTTTTCCTTGGGAAGGGGCTCCGCGTTCCTTGAGTTTTCACAGCTTGCCTCAGGCTTTCGTTCTGTTCTCGACAGGAAATGGAAGGTTAACTCATGGAAAAAAGGGGCCTCGTTCCTTATTTAGGGTTCCTTAGGTCAACGCCCCGACTGTATTCACAATGGCGCACGGTTGGGCCTTGCGCCAGGAGAATTGATCGCAGCCTCGGGGGCCGGCGGGGCTGCTCGGAGGGGCTCCTCTCCTGCGGCCCGCCGGGAGGCCGCCCGCGGCCGCCGGAGAGGGGGGCCCGGGGAGAGAGCCGCCCGGGAGGCCGGAGGGCCTTTGTGAGGTCGGGGGCGGCCAAGAGGGGGGGTGGTGTCAAACGACGCGAAGATCGGGACAACATCGGATCGGGATGACTCGAAGTCTCTGAGAATCGGCGGGTTTGGAGGATGTATGGGGCGCCGCGGCCGCTCCAGAGCGTTCCGGAAAGCTCTGAGAGCGCTCCGGAACGCTCTGGAGCGATTTGTCCCGATCCTAGCCGTGTTTTATGATGATTGGGTCCAGGTCGGGCGTGTCCCTCCACAGGGGGGGGTATCTAAGAATAGTTATCGGGGGTGGACAGACCTCCTACCCAGACACGTCGATTAAGGAACTGGCCGTTTTCGTTTCGCGAGAGGGCGTCGCGGCCGTTATGTTTGCGGGTCCAGGTCCGTTGGTTTCGGTCCCAGGCCGTTTTCACTAAGGGGAGGTCTACTAAAGGGAGGTTTGTCCACCGCCGAAGTTAACAGATCGTCCGGGGACGATTTTTTGGATGATTTTCCAGCCATTTGGGGGTATGTGTCTGGGTTTTCTCATTTTGTTGTAAAAAAAAGTCTGCCTGTAGGGGGACATGCCCGACCTGAGACTAGGGGGGGGTGAACATCATGATGGGGGCCATGAGATCTCAGATTTTTCCTGGCGCCTCCTCTCATTCCACTGCGCCCCCGGCCCCAAACCCCGCTTGGGCCACGCCTGTGCAGCCGGCCACGATTTGCGCCCCGCCCTCTTGGACGTCCCCCTCTTGGCCGCTCCCGATGAGCCCCTCCGAGGATCGAGCAGGGGCTCGTGGCTCGTTTCGGTTCCTTCGCTTCGATTCGATCTCGATGGCCTCCGACTCCGAGTCCGTTCGACTTCGGATTCCGATCTGGGCTCCGACTTCTCAGCGGAGGCCTGCTAGCCTGCCGATTTCTGCCGGTTCGGCTTCTCCCGACTCGGCGGCCGATTTGCGCCGATCCGATTCATTTCGAGCGCCGATCCGACTTATCGATTCTATTCTGGGCTCTCCTGGGGGATCGATTGCAGAATTAATCGATTCACCCCGGACTTGATTGCGAAGGCCTTACGACCGGTGCCGCCGACCCTGAAGGGCAACGACGACAACGGCTGCGACGACGACGACGCTGACGTGGGTCAGAGTCCTCCTGGATGCTTTTTGGGGTCTCTTAGAAGCGCTCTCGGTGGCCTCTGGGGGACAAATTAGGGGCCCCTTGGAAACCTCTTGGGGGCCTCTTGGGAGCCTCTTGGGGGCCTCTCGGGGCTTCCTGGGGGCCTCTTGGCGGCCTCTTGGCGGCCTCTTGGGGCCTCTTGGGGGCCTCTCGGTTCCTCCTGGGAGAGCCTCCCGGGCCCGGGGGCTCGACATGTCCGTTCTGGTCCCTCGTGTGGGCATCCTCCTGGAGCCGTCTTGGGGGCCTGCTGGGCCGTCTTGGAGGCGTGTTGGGCCGTCTTGGGGCCCTCTTGGGCCGTCTTTCACCACCCATCAAACCATCCCAACCCAACCCGAAGGCTCAGATTTGCCCTCGATTTCCAGTGGGGGGGGTCGGGAAACATCGAAAAACACGTGCGGAGCCCTTACCCCTCCCCAACCCGAAATTCGGGTCTTCGAGTTGGGTTGGGGTGGTCTGGTAGGTAGTCAGTCTTGGGGCGATCTGGGGGGCCTCTTGGGCCGTCCTGGAGCGTCGGAGAGCAGAAGAGGCGGCGAGAGCGCCGAAGTGCTTCAGAAACCAGTGGGGAGTCAGTGATTCCTGCTCCTGGGGCCCTCTTGGGAGTGCTCCTGGAGGCGTCTTGGGGCGCCTTGGAGGGCTCCTGAGCCATTCGGAGGCCGTCAAGGCGTCTTGGACAGATCGTTTGGTGGGCGATTCGGGTCCCTCTTGGACCGTCTTGGGGGCCTCTTGGGGTACTCCTGGCCCGTCTTGGGCCTTTTTGGGCCGCGGGACCCCCTTGGAGGGGAGACCCAGGACCCCCCCCAGGACCCCCCCCCTGCAGAATGAGTGGATTTACTCCAGAATTGATTTTCTCGTCGAGTGTACGATGAGCTCGTAGAGTCGGTGCGTGGATCTACGGAGCATTCTAGTAACTATTCTCCGTGGGTGCGTCAGGAGGAGCAATCCAGGGGGCCTCGCGCGGCGCGCACTAGCTGTACCATCTAGTCCGCACGTCAGCTCCGGCGTCAGGCCGACGTAAGCCCGACGCAACTCCGACGCAATCCGACGTTCGCCCGTCGTACGTCCGACGTGGGTCCGACGTGCCTCGGGTCTCGCGCTGCTGCGCGAGGCCTCCAGGGTTTGCTCCACACGGTCGACGAGCAGATCAATCTTGGTGGTATGAGTCACCTGTCGGAGGGCACCAACTATACACCAACACCGATCCTGGGCCCAGGGTGATCCTGGGCCAGGATCGGTGTTGGTGTATGGTTTGTGCCTTCCTAACCTGCTCGAGAGGAGGCACGCCCAATCTGCCCTGCCCCACTGGCGCGCCGCCGACCGCAGCACCGAGGAGGAGGAGGGACGACTGAGGTTCTTCGGCCACGCGCAGAGGGGGGCAGGGGAGGGGGGAGGCTTCTTAGACGGAGGCTGCGCCTTGCCCCATCGGCGCGCCGCCGACTGGAGGACCGAGGAGGAGGAGGAGGAGGAGGAGGAGGAGGAGGAGGAGGAGGAGGAGGAGGAGGAGGCACGACTGAGGGTCGACGAGGGTCTTCTGCCACGCGCAGAGGGGGGGCGTTCAGGCTTTTCGGGTAGCGTTTTGGCTTTTCGATGCTCGAGCTTCGAGGTGTCCTGGCGGTCTCGTTGGTTGTTCTCGACGGCTTTCCCGCCTCGGCGTGCGTGCCAGCAGCTGCGCCTCGCCGAGGGCGATCCGGGGGTGCCCGCATCGTCCCGAATGGCCGCCGGAGACCCGAGTGCCCCGAAAAGCAACCCTGCCCACGCGCAGAGGGGGGTTGGGGGGAGGGGGGGAGGCTTCTTAGAAGCACCCCTGCTTCTCAGAAGGCGCAGGACTGGTCTGCAGATGCAGGGCCCGCACCCTCTAAGAGGCAGCCTCCTTCCAAGAAGCCTTCCCCCCTCCGCCTACCCCTCTCCGTGCGCCGCCGAGTTCGGGGCGTCTCTGGGCCCCGGGCGTCCTGGGAAGTTCTGGGTGGTCATGGGGATCCAGTTTCTGGAGGAGGCGGCGATCCCCTCAAGTGGTGACCCCTTTGGCGTTGCCTGGCCATCACGACCACGCTGATGTTGAGCAAGACCACCGAGTGGATCGAGCCGATCACGAGCACGATGGTCCAGGAGGCTCGCCGCGAAGCAAACGGGTCCCAACAGAAACGGCTCCCGAGGTTTGGCGCGTGTTCGGCTCTCGGGGCCCTCCGTGGGCCGCAGGACTGGTGCAAAATTGCCCACGGTGAAGAACTGGTCCGGTGGAAAAAACACCAGGAGGATCCCTTGGGAACCCCCATACCGGCTGGTGAGATACCAGGTGGCGACCTGGAATCCCCAAAAAGGTCACCCCCGGGTTTGGGGGACGCGGGGCCACCACCGGGTTTTGTGACTCCTGGACCAACCAGTGGCCGGGACATCCCCGGAAAGCCGCACGAGTCGCCAAACCGGGTGGTGACACCAACTCGCCCGAGACTCACCGCCAGGTGTTGTCACCACCACGTTTGGGGACTACCAAATCCCTGAGGGCTTGACGTCTCTTTTCATAACATGAGGCAGGCCTGGAGATCTCTCCAGAACTTTGTAAACTTTGTGGGGTCGTGGAGCCGCAGAAGTCGTTCAAGCCAAGACACTTGAGGTTGGGAATTGGCTCGATATTCGTTCGGTCATTTGTTGATTCCCTTTCAATCGTGCACCCATGCGACTGCATGCTCAGGACGTGGTTTCGTTCCCTCTTTAGCGCTCCTTCTGGCAGTAGCTTGGCTGCACGCCCTCAGCGAAAGGAGCTCACCTCCCTGGAGCTGCGGTGCCAACAGCGGGGGGAGCTCGTCATGGAGATGGTGGGCTCCTCCCTGAAGACCCTGGTGATGATCCAGGACTTCCGCCGTCGTCGTCGTCGTCGTCGTCTTCGTCGTCGTCGTCGTCGTCGAGGGTTCGAGGATCAAGGTTTCCAGACGTTTTTCTGCCCTCGTGGCCAACAGGAGATTTCTCGTCGCATCGGCTTCGTCTCCCTCGAGATCCTGGTAAGAGCGCGCCGAGAGTTCTGGTCGGAGCGATGGCCCCAGGCATACGCGACCTCGCTCTACAGCAACTCGACGGCCATGTCCCTGGACTCTGGCTACCGCACCGCCTTTGCCGGGGTCACCTGCCCCAACGGCGGGTCTGCGTGCCATTTCGAGGGCTTCGACCTGTACCCCGACGAGCAGCGGCTCATCACGAGCCCACCGCGCGAGGTCAACGTGGGACACTCCGCGTGGTACGCGCCGAGGTACTCTGCCGCCCCGGCCTACAGACGGCAGGCGGCCTCGCTCGTGGCGGACGTGGGGGAGGCGTACCTGGACCAGCAGCACGCGGACGAGGCCCCGTACGATGCGCGAAGTTCCCGCGCGTCGCACCTGGACAACGCGTGCCGGGTGGGATACTTCGCCTCGGACGTCACCGACGTCTACTTCGGTTGGGAGCACAACGAGGCCTACCGCATCTACCCGTACCGGGAGCTCTCCGACTGGTATTGGACACCCCGCGATTTCCCAGAATGGTGCGGCAGTGTCAGCCAGGGGTATACGCCTCTCTGCCGATCTTGGTACCAGGATGCCGTCGCCGCCCAGGGCAGCGCCGCCTACGGCGAGGTGGCATGGGATCCTGACAACGGACAGACGTTCGTTTCGATCAGCGCAGCTTTCTACGATAACGAGGCAGGCGAAGCCCTTCCGGGCAAGCTAGTGGGAGTGGTTGCTGTCTCGATGTCCCTCCGAAAATTGAAGGAGACGTTGGAGAACACTCCGCTGTACGAAAACGGGTACGCCTACATCTTCGATGTGAGCGGCAATGCCGTGATCCACCCTGATTGGGATCTGGCATCCAGTCCGACGAGCGTGGTCGAACTCGCGAAGGCAGGCGACGACGAGTTTGGCCGGGCGTACCAGGAAGGTATTGTGAACGCCTTCGGACAGGAGGGGACTTGGAACGGCGAGTGGTACAATCCAGATACTGATGAGAAGGAGACCTGGTATCCGCTTGCGCCGCCGCGCAGTCGCAGCCGCGCCCGCAGAAACTGCCCGGCACCGCAGTTCCCTGGCACGGATGGTGCGGTGCTTGCCGTGCGTTTGCCGCCCCTCTGCGGCCTCCTCGGGGGTCTTGTCGTCGGAGGGCACCAACTATACACCAACACCGATCCTGGCCAGGATCGGTGTTGGTGTATAGTTGGTGCCTTCCTATGTCGGGGGCCCTCTGTGGGCTCTCGGGGGTCTCGTGGGGGCCCTCGGGAGGTCTCTGAGACACGGCAGAGGAGGAGGAGGAGGAGGGGGGGGAGGAGGAGGGGGAGGAGGAGGAGGAGGAGGAAGAGGAGCGAGGAGGTCCCTTGGGAGGTCTCTGGGCCGTGTCGAGGGAGATCTTGTGGTGGGGCCGTCCTGAGGGCTCGCAGGCCCGAGACGGCGGCCTGCCAGGACTGGACCAGCGGACAATCGATGCAGGCAGCACTTTCGGAGCACAAGTCGCCGAGCCGTGTTTGTAGGAGGAGGAGGAGGAAAAGGAGGAGCAGGGGGAGGAGGAGGAGGAGGAGGAGGAGGAGGAGGAGGAGGAGGAGGAGGAGGAGGAGGAGGAGGAGGAGGAGGAGGAGGAGACGGCGGCCTGCCAGGATTGGACCAGCTGACAATCGATACGGGCAGCACTTTCGGAGCACAAGTCGCCGAGCCGTGTTTGTTGGTACTCCAGATTTCGTAATCAAGGGAGTGGGGTCTCATCTCGGGGGGGGTCTCTTCCAGGCTATCTTGGAGGGCCTGGGGGTCTGGGGACGATGTTTTGGAGGGTTCTCCCGCGGGGGAGGTCTGAGATGGCTTGTCTTGGAGGGTCCAGACCCCCTCCCTTTGATTACGAAATCTGGGGTATTCGTCTCAGGGGGCCTGGTAAAGGCTCCTCGTGGAAGAGTGATCTTTTCGGAGGCCGCAAGAAGTTTGACACGCCTCTCTCGCTGTGTTTGTTGGGTGGCGGACTATGCTTTCAGACCGATACCCGACACCCCCTACCAGCTCGTGCTGGGCGTGTCTGAGCTCGAAGTTGAGAAGGCCGCCGTTGATCTCGAGGAAAAGCTGAGGTCGTTGGCGATTACCCAGTGCGTAGTGACCACTATTGTCTTGGTCATCACCTCCATGCTGCTAGTGTTTGTGTCCATGATGTTCCAGCATAGCTTCATCCATCCCGTGAAGAAGCTTAAAGACCTAGTGACACAGGCAGAGAAGGAAGGGTTCAAGACCAATGTAGACACCACGGAGGATGTTATTTCTTTGGAGCTCGGGACCTTGAAGAGAAATTTCACGAAACTGCTCACTGCGCTGCGATTCAACAACCCGGACTACCATAAGGGCGACAAGGGGCTAGAGCTTGCGAACTTGCGTGAGGCGGAGGCGATTGTGAAGGAGACGGGGAACCTCCGAGGCCCTTGTCTGGCTGGTGCTTCTCTCTTTGTTTGTTCTCTCTCGCTCTCTCTCCCTCGCTCTCTATCGATCCCTCGCTATTTGTTTCATGCGGGTACGTCTCTTTCTCTCTCTCTCTCTTTCCAGCGATCCCTCGCTGTTTGTTTCATGCGGGTAATTACGAGTCTCTTTCCCGAGCAGTGCTTGCACTCAGGGGCTCCTGCTGGCGCGCCTGCGTACTTCGATGGGTCCGCCCAGGATGTTCCGCGCGCCCGCCCGCGGGCGGGTCCGCCGAGGCTGCGCCTGGTGCCCGCCCGTGGGCGCACCGCGGGCGGCCGCCGCCATGGAGGGTAGCAGCGGCTACGCAGCACGGCCCACGCCGCACAGCTCGTTGCGGAGGCCTTGCTGCCGGTGCCGCCGACCCTGAAGACGACGACGCTGACCACGACGAGGTCGAGGGAGGAGGAGGAAGAGGAGGTGGAGGAGGAGGAGGAGGAGGAGGAGGAGGAGCCGCAGGAGGAGGAGGCGGAAGACGCCGAGGAGGTGGAGGAGGTGAAGGAAGAGACGGAGGAGGAGGAGGATTAGCACGGGCTGACAGTTGAGTTCAAGATTGGATTCCCCGTTCGCCGATCCCCTAGGCTATGGCTGTGCGAAAGGGGGGAGGGTCCAAATCATGATCCAAAACTGGGGAGGGTACGGATCCAACGGACCTGATAACGCCAGCAACGACGCAGGGGCCGAAAATGCGCTCTCCTGCAGGCAGATTTCCTACTGGTCCGAGTGCTGGTCCTCCTTACCCTCCTTCCTCACACATCAGCCCTTCTTAGCGATCCCTGGATCTGGGCTCCTAGGGGGCGGCATCCCGAAGGGAAGTGAACTTGCTGGGGCAGAGGTCCACTAAGACGCGGGGCCAATGCATGCCAACGCCTGCCAATGCATGCCAACGCATGCCAATGCATGCCAACGCATGCCAATGCATGCCACTGCATGCCAATGCATGCCAACGCAAGCCAATGCATGCCAACGCATGCCAACTCATGCCAACGCATGATAATGCATGCCAATTCATGCCAATGCGTGCAAACGCATGCCACTGCGTGCCAACGGATGCCAATGCATGCGAACGTATGCAAATGCATGCCAATCCATGCCAACGCACGCCAGTGCATGCCAGTGCATACCAACGCATGCCAACGCATGCCAACGCATGCCAACGCATGCCACTGCATGCCAATGCATGCCAACGCATGCCAACGCATGCCAATGCATGCCAGCGCATGCCAATGCATGCCAACGCATGCCAACTCATGCCAACGCAAAATACTGCTTGCCAATTCATGCCAATGCGTGCAAACGCATGCCACTGCGTGCCAACGTATGCCAATGCATGCGAACGCACGCAAATGCATGTCAATCCATGCCAACGCACGCCAGTGCATGCCAATGCATGCCAACGCATGCCAACGCATGCCAACGCATGCCAACGCATGCCAACGCATGCCACTGCATGTCAATGCATGCCAACGCATGCCAACGCACGCCAATGCATCGGTGAGGCCCCTGCATGAGGGGTCAGGGCGTGAGGGGCCGAAGCCCCAGCATGAGGGGTCAACGCATGAAGGGCCAATGTCCCAGCATGAGGGGGTCAACGCATGAGGGGCCAGCCAAGGCGTCGGCATGAGGTGTCAGGGCGTGAAGGGCCGAATCCCTGGCAGGAGAGATCAACGCATGAAGTGCCAAAGCCCCTGCATGAGGGGGTCAACGCATGAAGGGCCAGCCAAGGCCCGAGCATGAGGGGTCAGGCATTAGAGGGGCCGAAGCCCCGGCATGAGGGGTCAGGGCAGGAGGGGCCAATGCCCCAGCATGAGGGGGTTCAACGCATGAGGGGCCAGCCAAGGCCCGAGCATGAGGGGTCAGGGCAGGACGGGCCGAAGCCCTGCAGGAGGGGCCAACGCTTGCAGGGCCAATGTCCCAGCATGAGGGGGTCAACGCATGAGGGGCCAGCCAAGGCCCCAGCATGAGGGGTCAGGGCAGGAGGGGCCGAAGCCCTGGCATGAGGGGCTAACGCATGAAGGGCCAATATCCCAGCACGAGGGGGTCAACGCATGAGGGGCCAGCCAAGGCCCCAGCATGAGGGGTCAACACATAAGTGGCCGAAGCCCGGGCATGTGGGTTCAACGCATGAAGGGCCGATGCCCCAGCATGAGGGGTTCAACGCATGAGGAGGAGGATTAGTGGGAGAAGGAGGAGGAGGAGCAGGAGGAGGAGGAGGACGAGGAAGGGGAGGCGCAGGAGGAGGGTGGCGATCATGTGGAGGAGCATGGGGGTGTGGAGGCAGAGGTTGGGGGGGGGCTGAGCACCTGGGGGGAGTGCAGGGGGACGTGGACAGGAGGAAGATGACAGAGTTGTGTTGGGTCGATGATAGTGCGGGTTATGACTTGTAGTGTGTGTCTTGGGCTCTTTGGGTACCTCTGAAAGCCTCCTAGGAACCTCGCAGAGCCGACAGCTCGAAGTGTCCGTTCGGGTGTCCCGTGTGAACGCGTTTTTTGGAATCGTGGTGGGGGCCATTGGACTCGTCTTGGAGGCGTTGGGGACCGACTTTGCGTTCCCTGGGGCTGTTCGCGTGGTCTTTTTGGAGGCATCTTTGACCGTCCAGAGCCGATCGTGCGGGCCTCTTGGGTTGTCTTGGAGCGGTGGGAAGGCCTCCTAGGAGCCTCTCAAAGCTGAGAGCTCGAAATGTGCGTTCGGGTGTCCCGTGTGGGAAGGCTTCTGGAGTCGTGTTGGGGTCTTCTGGACTCGTCTTGGGAACGTTTGGGGCTGCCTGTGCGTTCCCTGGGGGCTGTTTGCGGGCTCGCTTGGAAGCCTCTTTGACCGTCTGCAGGCGATCGTGAGGGCCTCTTGGGCTGTCTTGGAGCGGCGGGAATAGGAAAAGGCGAGAACGCCTTCGGGTATCTTGGGGGCCTCTTGTGGGCCTCTTGGAAGTTCTCGGGAGCCTCTTGGGGCCTCCTGGGAGCTTTACGGGGTCGAGGGCTCGAAATGTCCGTTTGTGTCCCTCGTCTGGGTACGCTCTTGGAGCCGTCTTGGAGGCCTCTTGGCCCGTCTTGGAGGCGTTTTGGACTGTGTTGGGTTTCTCTTGGGGTGTTGGAGCGTTCGTGGAAGCCTCTTGGTCCGTCTTGGGGCGATCTTGAGGGCATCGTCGGCGGTCTTGGAGCGGCGGGAATCGGCAAAAGCGAGAATGTTCAAGGGCGTGTTCGACCCATCGTTTGGCGGTTGGGGGCCCTCTTGGACGCTCACGGAGACCTCTTGGGGTATTCTGGGCTTGTTTTGGTATTTTTCCAGCCCCAGATCCCCCAGGCGGGATGCGTGTCTGACTCCTCTCCCCACACCCGTCGGGACCCCCCCCGATGGGGGAGGGATCAGAGGGAAGGGGCCTCCCTTCGATTCGAATACGACATTGCTAGGTTTTTCTGCAGACGTACATTCCTTTAGTGTCTTGGAAAATTCGTTGGGAAGGGTCGCGTGGTTGATGATCCAGTCGATTGCACCTTTCTATATTTGTTGTCCTCCTCTGGCCGATTAGTAGGTTGGGATGGCTTGAATACGAAATTTGATTTTCGATGGGGGTCGATTGCCTCACGCGCACGCCCGCGCACAGCTGTCGGGCCCGAAGGGTCCATACAGCCAAGCAGGGATTCGGGGTTTCATCCCTCGATTTCCCCTCCCGCCCACTCCCCTGGGTTTATGATGTTCCAACTTACTTTAGCCTTAACCGCCAGAAAGAATTTCGAACACCAGAAAAGTACCGAAACTCGAGGGTTTTCACCTGTCGGGCCATGGGAGACACTCGTCCAACACTGTTTTGACACTGCCTCGATACTTGTTCGACACTGTTTCGACACTTTTGCGGGTGCTCGAAATTATTTCTGAGATGTGGTCTTTAAGTACGATGGGAGCAACGCAACCTTGGGTGTAAACCTGGGGCTGGGCGTTGAGCCCGATGCATTCGTATAAGTATGCCAAAAGTCAGTGCGGGCTCTCGTGGCCCGTATGGCTGCCGTCCCGCTGCTGCCCGGCCTGGCCCAGCTGCCTGAGCCGCAGTCTACGCGGACGCTTCCTTGCGTAATTTTGTTTCGTTGACAGGCTTCACGGATGACAGGGTCGGCGGATGTTGGCTAGGCCCTAGATTGGTTTCGTGGATGGCACCAACGGAACCCGACTCGAACGGATAAACCCCTCACACACACGCCGACAGGGTCGGCGGATTCCGCGTAGCTTGCAAATGGATACCACCACATGGGTCACATCGCATAGCGTACCCAACGTAGCTCACACCACATAGCTCACACAATCGAGCTTGTAGGACATAGCGCACACTACATAGCTTACACAACGCAGCTCACACCATAGCCTACAATACAAAGCGCACAGCATGTAGCCTACTAAATGCATAGACGTAGCTGATTCCAGCATCGGCTTTGCCTCCACAGTGCAACATGTCACTGCTTGGGGCCTGCGCTGGCTCACACCTACACGTGCGTATGCAGTACACTGTATATGCCTCCGCCTCGGTTTCCTTCTGCCTCTCTTTCTGGCGTTTCTTCCTTCCTTCTCCCCCCCCCTTCTCCCCGTCTCTCCCCCCTCTGCCTCCCCCCCTCCTTCCCCCCCCTTCCACTCCCTCTCCCCCTCTTCCTCCTGCCCTCTCCTGTCTCTTCCTGCCCCTCCTTCCCTGCTCTTCCTCCTCTCCTTCTCCTAACCCTCCCCCTGCTCTTCCTTCTCTTCCTCCTCTTCCTCCTTCCCTGCTCTTCCTCCTCTTCCTCCTCTCCTCCTCCTTCCCTGCTCTTCCTCCTCTTCCTCCTCTCCTCGCCTTCTCCTTCTCCCCCTCCCGCTCTGCTCCTCCCCCCCCCCTCCCCAGTCCCCACCCCAACACCGAAGGGCGGGGATACCCCCTGGAACGCATCTCGGCATCGTCCGCGCCGCTCCTCCCGGTGTGGACGGCTGCCGCGGAGCTCGAAGGAAACGGTGCCCGTCCCCGCCTGGGGGGCGGGTGAGTCGACCCATGTCGCAGGCCTGAAGGTTGACACCAACACCAAAGTCGGCGATGTGCCTCCACCGAGGGAAGAAGATCCCGATCTCGGCGATGGTGGTAATGTTATGGCTTCCAAGGTAGCCGAAGTCTTACCACCAGCACCGAAATCTGTGATGATCTTCCCCCTGTGGAGGCAGCCCCCTGTGTTGGTGTTGGTGCCCATTTCCAAGCCTCCAACACTGGGCAAGGTTCCCCGGTTTGGGGTGCGAATCTCGGGGGTGTACAGAACCCCCCCCCTGACGCGTCGATGAGTGAATTGTCCGGATTTTGGCCGTGGCCGTCATTTTCCAGGCTTGCGCCCGCCAGGTTTGGGCCCAAGGTCGCTTTCACTAAACCTATATAACAGGGGTTCTGTCCATCCCCGAGAATCGTTTTGCTTGTCCAGAATCCCAGCGGGGCCACCGCAGGCGATAGCAGCCGTGTTCCGCTGTTCCCATGTTCCCTTCTCCCGTGGCGCCCTCCCCCCGTCCATGGAGGCATCGGCGTCTGCAAGAACAACCTCGGCAATCTGGTCAGGGGCATGAGCGCGCAGGAGAAGCAGAGGCTGCCAGCCGAGGACCACGGTTGCCTCCAGCCCCCTCCAGTTTCCTTTTATCCTTTCCCCTCCTCTCTCCTATCTTTCCCTGCCTTGATTCTATGCTTCCTATCCCCCTTCAAGCCTCTCAGGCCTGCGCAGGAGGGACGGGGCATCACGCCGGGCCCCTCCGAAATGTCTTGCAGACCCAGTTGCCCTCCTGTCCTCGCCCGCGCGCGTGTCGGCCTTGAAACAGGCCAACCTCTGCACGACCTGGGAGGAGGAGGAGGGGGATGATGATGAGGAGGAGGAGGAGGAGGGGAAGGAGGAGGAGGAAGAGGGGGAGGAGGAGGAGGGGGAGGAGGAGGACGGAGCGTCACCTGCGGGGCGGGAGGACCGAACCTGCCGAGGAGGGTCGAGCTCCACCTCTCCGCAGTTCCCGCGGGTCCGCACTGATGGTGGACTTGCGTGTGGGCTCTCAGAGCTGCACGGCGCGGCTCGGCGCCATGGCGCCAGAAGCTGCTACAGAAAGCAGGCAGGCCCGCCGCCGACGCCAAAGCAGCAGCCACGCCAAGATGGTTTTGGGCGCCTCGCATCGGTCAGCACATCTTGAAATGACGCCGACAGCGAGACGCACCGTGTCGTGGCCAGGCGTCTGGCCCCATACCTATGGCACGCCACGCGCCTCGACGCCTTCCCGTCCCGGTCTGGAACCGCCCCCTTCTGGTCTGGGACTGCCAGACAAGAGTGTGGGTGGGTCCGCGCAACAGCGCTGAGCCATTTGGGAACCTTGGGAGCATGTTGGATGGATCCAAGGAGCTCACGAATGGGGGGCTACTGCTGAAGATTGGACAGTGTGGCTCGGGCCACCCTTGAAATGGCTACACTGTGACGTGCCCAAACCATCTGCAGTAAGTGACAAGAGGAGTTGGTCGAGAATGGCATGACTGATGGCAACACAAGGTGCGCCATTGGTTGGGACTCCCTCAGCAGGCCGCAGCGCCCGCGGCATCCTCCAGAGCCGCCTGATCTCCAAGTTTTTCGATTCATCTTCGCCCGACTTTGCGTCCTCGTCTTGGCTTTGTTTTCTTCTTCCTCCTGCGAGTTCCGCCCTTGCTGTCTCGCTGGACTCCTGGCCTGGCCTCTCCGCCTCCCAAGGGGCGGCTTTGGGGGGAGGGTGGCGCGCAGGACCGCGACCCGCGCAGGCTGCTCGAGGCGGCCGTCAGGAACGCCCAGGAGCTGGCGGCCGGCCACAAATCCAGCGGATGGGGCAGGCCCTTCCCTGCTCCTCCCCCTCCTCCCCCTTTCCCTCCTCCTCCTCCGCCTCCTCCTCCTCCTCCGCCTCCTCCTCCTCCTCCTCCTCCTCCTCCTCCTCCTCCTCCAAGCGTTGTGGTCCGAGGCGCCCCATTTTGGACTAGCAGCCCGAGAGACCACGACCCCAGCCCCCAGAGAGGGGCGCAGTCGCGAGACGGGCGTGCGGCCGCGATCGCGTTCCCCCGCGTGGCATCGACGAGAGCGGCGCCAACGGGCAGCGTCCCGATTCCGACTCAGACGAGAGAGGGACATCGCCCGCCTCGAGGCCCACCACGGGAGCATGGCGCCAGGCGAGGCAGCACGGACGACCTGCAAGAAGTGCCAGACCTGGTGGTGGCACGCCACCCTAGAGAGCAATGACTACTGGTGCAGCTGCGGATGCGGAGTGGCCAGGCCCAAGACGGGCAAGCCGCAGCAGTGGCAGCAGAAGCAGCAGCAGCAGCAGCATCAGCAGCCCAACTGGTGGCAGCAGCAGCAGCAGTCCATCGTCGAGCGAGCGAGACCCCGTGGCGGAGGAGGATCCAGCAGCAGGCGGAGCCAAGGCTGGCGGCGCCGCCCAGCTGGCATCGGCTCTGAAGACGGTTACGGAGTCCATCGGCACGCTGAAGCTCGCTAGTGGTGATGCCATCGCAAAGCAGCTCGCGCGCGCCGCTGATGCGCTCCAGGAGGCGCCAAAAAAGCAGACCAAGTCACGAGCTGCGCGCTTGGCTGAAGCGGCGAAAGTGCTCGAGTACGCCAACAAGCAGTACAAGTGGGCGTTCGGGCAGGCAGAGTCAGCACAGAAGGCAGCCGAGAAGGCCAAGGCGGCCCTGAGGAGAGAGCGGACGCGGTCGCGAAGGTTGAGCGCGAGATCGCGGAGATCCAACAAGAGGGCAAGCCGAACACCAACCAGCGCAGCATCTTTGAGCAGCTGCTCGACACGGGCGCGGACCTGCTGTCTGCGAGCGACGTGCAGATCGCCGAAGTGGAGCAGGGGTTCGCACACCTCGGATGACCTGGACGAGCTGGGCCGCAAGGCGGTCGACGACGCCAAGCGCCAGGTGCTGGGGCGGCTGCGGAGGAACGCCAGGGAGTTCGCGGGCCAGCTGAAGCAGCGCCTCCAGGCGACGAAGCTGGAGGCGGAGCAGGAGCGAGCCGAGATCCAGCAGGCCTGCAAGAAGAGGATGGCGGATTTACCGGCAGCGGCGACAGCGAAAACAGCACCTGCTGCACCACCGACAGCATCAGCCGCAGCCACAACCCCAGCAGCAGTCGACGAAGACGAGAACGCGGAGATGAATGAGGCGGACCTCGCGGGGGCTCACCTCCAACAGCGGCGGGCCGCGGCGGCCTCCTCGGAAGCCCCCGCGACCCACTGACGGTTGAGGCGCGGTGGGAGGAGGCAGTTTGGCGACGACTCCCACCGCGAGCGCCGCATCTTCCGCGCCAGCATCGCGCGATGGGACCCGGCGGACTTGCGCTGGCTTCGCCGCGATGGAGCACGGCAGCCGCGCGACGTCCGCGCGTTGCAGGAGACCCGCCTGGCCCACCACGAGCTCGACAGCACTGAGCACAAGCTGCAGAGGGCGGGCTTCTCAGCAGTGTTCGCAGCAGCGCGGGCAAGCGACAGGGGCGAGATAGGTACTTGCGGAGGAGGCACGGGGGTCCCCGTCGAGGGCCGCCGCAAGGCGACGTCGCATCAACGCCAGGGATCGCGCGCCGCAGTCTCGGGTGCAACCTCATCAGACGCCCGCGGCTCGCAGCGCGACATCAACTTGTGTGACTGGACGCCAGTCAGCCTGCACATGCGTGGTTCCCAGCTCCTCATCGCATCCGTCAACCTGGGCCCGTCCCACTCCACTTCCAGCGGTGAGAACTACAGGAAGCTAACGTCGCTGGCAGCGTTCCTCAGCACCTCGCGCACGCCGTGGATCCTTTGCGGCGACTTCGCCAGGTAGTGCGAAGACGTGGTGCAACCAGGATGGACAACCGCCCTCGGTGCCGCAGAATACGTCGGGGCTCGACAACGACCAGCGCGCCTGCTTCCTGGGCGACGGTCCGCCCTCCGGCAACGTCTACGCGATGGCCGACGACGGCGGGCGAGGGCTCGCTCGGGGAGTCCAACCTGTGCGCGAAGTACCTTGGAAGCCACGCATCGGGCTCGACATCGTCATCAGAGCAGACGCGGACCCCCGCGTCAGCCGACGACTACAGCCGCCGAAGGCCTTCCCACGCTCAACGCAGCCCAAGAAGACCAACACGACGACGAAGAAGACCAAGAGACAGATGGGGCACAACGACCAAGCCCCCCACGACTACGACACCGTCCGACCAAGACGCCGAGAACTCAGCACGAGCGGAAGCGCCTGGACCATGCGGATGGCAACACCACGACCACCCCCTTCGCAACGCCAATACCTCGACGCAGCACGACGGACGAAGACGGAGGCGCCCCTCGTAGACGACGCCCTCAGCGTGTCCGCCCTACACCACGTCGCACAACTACCCCGCCACCACTACGAATACGCCCACGACATGGACTACCTTCAAGGCGCCACCGAGGTTCAAAGGGCCGAGGCCAGCAGCTTGGAGAGCACCACCGTGGAGCCGAATTCGGAGCTGAACGAGGACATGGACTGCAGGCGCTCAAAGGGCGTTGCAGCAGGTACCGCTACCCGGTCGACTCAATGCACGAGCGCCCGAGACCGACGCCAACAACGTCGACGATACGTGGGAGGTCGCAAACACGATGCACCACGGCCCCGCCAGCGCAGCCCCGCCCGACACCCAGAACTGCCCCGCCTACCAGGTCGACCCCGGCAGCGCCGACCAGCTAGGCGCGCGATGCCAACACCTCATCAGCACGCTTGAGTCGTTCTACTGCACCGCGTACCACATCCCACTGGAAGACTGCCACCGCTTTCTCGGGCGCGGACAGACGCGCGTATTCAAGACGCAACAGACACGAGAGCCCGACCACCCTCAAAAATGCGCGTCCGACAGATCCGACTGGTGGAGTTGCACGGGCAACTCCCCCAGCACGATGGACATGCATCGACAGCTCACGGACAGCAACAACAACGCAGACTACGCGCCACAAGACGACGCCTGGTACGCGAAGGATCACCACCGCCAGGACCCAATGCATTGGACCCGCCACGACTGCACCACCAACCTAGCGACGGACACAGCACCGACGTGTCCAGTGACGTCGCCCAGCCCGAGTCACACACAGAAGGACAGCAACCAGCGCAGCAGCACGGCGACAAGGCGCACCTGCAGCAGCGCGACGTTGCGTCCAGCGCCGGCACCAACGGCACTCCCAGGACCCAATCTGCTGCGAGCATCGGCGTGGAGGGGGGGGGGGCGAGCACTCCCTGCGTCCACGCGCGGGGGCAGTTGGGGGAAGTCAGCGAGGAGACGCATTTAAAGGCCCTCGCCCGCGGCACCTGGCTGCCCCCCACCCCCAGCAAGACGAGCCGCTCAGCCGATGCAGCGCCGTCGCTGAGAGGGCGCCACCTCCGTCCCAAGCGACGGCAGCGCGACGCGCAGCACCACCGCAGTGCCACCACCGTGACGAGCACACCGACAGCAGCACCAATATGACCAGCGCGACCGGCAATGTGACTGGCATGGGCGACGCAGCTACTGCCACCTCCTTTGGAAGGCATGTCGTGCAGGGTGCCCAGCACTTGCGCGCTGGGGGCGCTGCGCGGCGCGCTGGGGATCTCGGGGGTGGATCGCGGAAATCGCAGAGGGCGCGCTCGTCCCCGGAACTCCGCGCGCCTCCGCAAGACGCGCGTGGAGAGGTGAGCGGCCTCCAGGGGCGCGGCCCACCTGGGCCGATTCGCGAGCCGTGCGCGGCCCGCGCAGAGCGGGCTGCTCCAACGCAGCAAGAGGGCGCTGCTGCGGGGCGCAGTGCTGTCGCGAGCGGGGGCGCGACCGAGGAGAGAAGGAGGAGTTGGGTGCTGCGGCTCCTCGGCGCGGATACCAGCCAGCAACTCAACGGCGAGCGGCAGCGCAACATCGACCAGCGCGACGTGCAGCGCCACCCGCGGCTGCAGCGCCACCGTGGCGAGCGCGCCAACGGCAGCTCCACTATGACCAGCGCGGCGAGCAGCGGGGCCAGACTGGACGATGCAGCCACTGCCTCCGCCCCTGGAAGGCATGTCGCGCAGGGTGCCCATCCAGCGCGTGCAGAGGGCGCTGCAGGGGATGCAGGGGATCTCGGGGGTGGACTGTGCCAGACGCAGAGGGCGTGCTCGGCCCCCAGGCTCCACGCGCCTCCGCAAGTCGCGCGTGGCCCGCGCGGGGCGGCCACGCGGGGCGGCCGCCGCGGAGAGAGCAGCAGCGCGGCACCGACCAGCGCGATGCACAGCACCCACCGCAGCAGCACCACTGCGACCAGCACCGTCGGCAGCACCACTGTGTCCAGAAAGACGAGCGGTGGGACTGGCCTGTGCGAAGCAGCTACTGTCGCCCACCCTGGAAGGCATGTCGCGCAGGGTGCCCAGCACTTGCTTGCCGGGGGCGCCGCGCGGGGCGCTGAGGATCTCGGGGTTGGACCGCGGCCGCCGTGGAGGGCGCGCTCGTCGCCGTGGCTCCACGCGCCTCCGCAAGACGCGCGTGGAGAGGTGGGCGGCCCCCAGGGGCGCGGCCCACCCGAGCCGCGCAGCGGCCCGTGCGTGGCCCGCGCAGGGGCGGGCGGCTCCAACCCGGCAGGTCGAAGCCGCTGCGGGGGGCAGCACCGACGCGAGCGGGGACAAGACGACAACACCACTACCAGCCCCAGCGACAGCAGTGGAGAGCGACGAGAAGAGAAGGCGGAGATGGGCCCCACGACTCCCCAGCGATACCACTTGCCAGCAATGCTACGGAGAGCAGCAGCGCAACATCGACCAGCACGACGTGCACCCGCGGCGCCCACGGCAGCAGCGCCACCG